TGCCAGGCATAATGAAACTGATCAAGAGAGTTTTCTAAGGTGTTAAACATAAAAAGCAGATATAATAGCCAGCATAGCTGTACTTCTGTATTTTGATAATTTTAGATATAATTTTCATGTAGAATTTAATTCCCTAATTGTGTTCAATCCTTTCTTGTACATGTTAACCTTTGACGTCAATAACTAAACATTACAAGGATTGTTCTTTTGAATTGTAGTAAAGTGTAAGGTAGACGATGTTAAACATGTTTATCTAACAACAATATTGTAGTTTATCATGTTATTTTACTATCTCCCGCCTCATCGGCACTAAACCAACAATTAATACACTATCATAGCTTTTGTATGCTCCTCTCAATCTTCTGCACGTTAACAAAAAACACTTTGTTTCCATTTTATTTTTTCGCCTTAAATTATTCAGTTAAGTAAACTCTAAATGATTAACGGAACTTTTATTTTGACAACTCATACAATTATACATGTGTGACAACAGAAGAAAGTAATTGACAGCTAATCAAAGAGAAGTTTATTTGAATCCGACTGGAGTTTATAGAAACGGAAAGTATACAAATAAGTAAGTATTCACATACGTATCATTTATTGATACATGTAGTTAATATTGATATTTTTAGCAATACGACATAAAAGCATACATTAAAACAATAAGTACATTCAGTTATCACTCTTTAATGTGACATATTGTTCTTCTTTTTCAGACAACGCAACGAATCTACCTATAATGATGATAATAAACTGGATTGATAACGAACGTGGCATAATTTTTGTAATCATATTATGTTTGTTGGTAAAAGATTCACTTGAACAAAGTAGAAGTATAAATGAACGCTTTGGGATACGGACGGAAAATGATACCATCTCAAGGACTAACCTGGAACAGACACAGGTAGACAAACGTATTAATATTGGAGACAGCTTCTTTCTCAACAGACTTCGCCAAGGTGATTCGGAAGCTGTCACGCGCCTGAGTCAGTTACATCAAACAGTGGACACACCTATGACCTTACTGCATAACTTTTTTCAAGTATTCAGTAGGCCAGATTTAAGACATAGGAATGGTGTTTTCGGTCTCCTACACAATCTTGCTGTTGCACGAGGCCTTCTTCCGAATTCTTTAGCAATAGGAACAGACGGTTTGCCAATACAGGATACCATACAGCAGGTAGCGAGCACAAGAACTCCTTTAACAGAGAGAACTTCAATACGAAATGAACCTAGTTCAAACCTACACATAAATAGAAGAAATATTATACGTACTTCAGCAAATGAAGGATTTGTAACTATAAATAATAGGATAAATAGGTTGACAAATGATTTGCTTGGAAGTGAAGAAAAGCACTCTGGGGAAGTAAATGATCTATCTAGGAATGATAGACAATTTCAGACTAATACTCCTTCGCTACTGACTGTTTCTAGTCCGATCACATCAACAGTCAGAACAGATATACTATTACAAGGAGTTGCTGGTCGTGGATTTAATGTTAATAACAACTTAAGAACGCCAGATTTAGAGCGGATAAGTAATGGACAAAGGCAATTTATTCAGAGAGAAAGGCCTATTTTAGATAGAAACATTCAATCTGTTGCAACAAAAGCTATGAATAATGTTTCTAACGTTGATTCACCAACATTCATTGCGAGAAGAAATTCTCAGGCAGGGGGTAGATTTTCATCACCAGCAGTACGTATGCAGTCACGAGAACAATTCTCAAAAGAGGCTTCCGAACAAAGAGGCGCTAGGATATTTTCTATCGATTTACAGTCTAGAATGAAGAATCACAATACTAGCGTGCAAAACATGATAAATATACCAGATAATGCAACACCGACAACAACATCCGGTGACACACTACTAAATAAAACAGCTATTTCGAAACGACCGTCTAAGTTAAATTTCATGTTAGATATGCCAGCAGGTGTAATTGTAGCAGGTAGAATGGGAAGTATCACACCTGAAAGTATGAGACCTATCAGTCAAACTCTGGAAACCGTACGTTTACAACAAAATGATAAGATCGTCAACGCAAATGCTAGAAGTGAAATGGAAATTGGTCAACAACTACATGAGACTGAAAAGCTATTGTCAAAAACGAGCATAAATGATAGAGAACTTGACATTGTACAAACTGCCACCAGTAGAAATGTGCCTAATACGATAAACCAACCACTTAATATTTTGCAGAACACAACTCAACAAGACATAAGAAATGATTTTATATTGCAGAGAGTAGGCCATATACAGCTTGATCCGACAGATCATGTACTACAAGTCGTTGGTGAAATGAATTTATCATTAGCTGAACCTGAATTTAACATTCAGAGAGTTGGTGAGTTAAATATTGGCCGCAGACGACAGTTTATTATGGATGTAAGTGTAAACTCATCGTCTGCAGAAGATAGGGTGTTACTACAAAGGGTAGGATCTACCGACTTAGTTCCTGGTGAAAGGTTACAGATGCATGGATCGGGCGATGTTCGCTTACTAACAAAAGAGAGAGTGATAATACAACGACTGGGATTCATCACTTTTCAGACGGATCCTCTAAAAGCGAATGAAGAAAACGGGACTGGTAAACAACAATCAAACATGACAGATGAAGTAAGATCTATTTTTAGAATTGAACCAGTTGTAAACGATGAAGCAAGGCCAAATTTATTGTTCCTTGGAAGTGAAACTGGTACTATAATGAATGAAAATTCAAATGAAACAGTTTTACAATTTGTTGGAGATGTTCTCTCAGAAATGCCAATTGATCGGCTTAATATGACGCTTCAAAACACGTCAATGTTTGCTCAAGTTTTTAACTCGGCTACAATAAATGCAAGCGACCAGGTAATGTCAAACAACCAACAAATTCCACCTCCTCTAAGGAAAGTGCCACCCGCAATAAAAGATGGAGTTAATGAGACAATTATTCCTGTTCTGCGTGAAAATATAGCTTTAAAATCTAAGCAGAACCGCATTGATAGCTCAAATAATTCGCCTGTAAGAATTCACTTAAAATCAATTGGTCGGATTTTTTCAACAGCTGAACTCAAATATGAAAATACAAGGGATGATTCAGGTATATTTTAAAGAAAATCGTTTCCAAAAATATTTCAAATTGAAGTCATATACTGTAAATTGCAGTTGTCATTTAAACCCGATTGGAAAACAAGGAAACCGCATGATGTTTTTGATTTTAGGTCAAGATCTTGTAGCGATATTTCTGTAGATCTGTTGTTTGTTGTGACTCTCAAAAGCACGTTGCGCAAGTACTATAGAACTGCTTCATATTTTAGGTAATCGTGAGCATATTTTGATCTGGCATTGAGCTGTGTTGTGCTATATTTTAAGTGCTCGTGATTGCGATAATATTGCGCTATTACCATTGGCTGTTTAAGTGTCCATACGCATATTGCGATATTACTTAAGAACTGTTTATAACCGTATTTCTTTAGAATAGTTATACATTTAGACGATAATAAAGATGATGCTTTTTTACTAATATAGTAGAGTCGTGATCTATTTTAGACGTTCTTGATCATGAAGTGCTGTTTTTATGTGATCTGTTTTATATATACGAGGGTTGATCAATAAATTCGTGGACACACTCCATAAATTGTTTTTTTGGGGAAGGAAAGTTAATATAATTATATTTGACATTTATTCAATTATTTATCAATTTGATGTGTAAGTTTCAGATAAATAATCCATATATTTTATCCGAAATGACAGTTTTCAGAAATACATGTAAAGCTGATCGCCGCAGCTCATTTGCAACTTACGTTACGTCGTGACGTCGGCGTTACATCTTCTCAAAAACAATGCAGCACCAACTTCTACACATCGTTCATGCCTGTGTACCCACCGACTGAAAATGTTCTTATACAATGAAGTATCAAATGAAGGCAACACAGACAATGCTATGGACTGCAAATCATGGAACCCGGTTAACTTGTGTCCCTTTAACTCTGCCTTCAATTTCACTCGCATAACGTTTGCATCGCAACAAGTTTTAATTGGTCTGCCGCGTCTCTTATCATCCTGAAGTTCTTCTCTACCCTCACAGAAGTGTATGTGTCACTTATAAACTAAGGAATAAGACACTTTTTTTGTTCCAGATACAATTTCCATGTTTTCTTTAGTGTGTTTTGGCGTCATACCAAGATTTACACAGACCTTAATAACTGCCCTCTGCTCCAACAACGTCGTACTCCTCTCTGGTGACACACCCCTGTCTCCATTAACATCTCGAAATAGTAGCGACGCTTGTTTTTTTAAATGTTCTATAAACGATATGAAGGAACGTTGCCGTCAATTTCATATTTTAAAGAAGCACGCCAAAATAAGGACAATTTTTAAGTATTTCAAAATGATAAATATAACTTTTTTTGAGCTGCGGTGTTCGTACGGTATAGGGTTGCTATGGCGATACATATAATGAACAAAATGAGATTTGTTTTTAAAAAATCACAATATATTTGAATAGTATTAAATTCTTCTCCTAAATAGCAAAAAATCTTTATAATATCTTGATTAATTATTAAGTTATTAATAGTGTCCATGAATATATTGATCAACCCTCGTACATGTACATGTATCGCTATTCTTTTGAAAAGCTGCTTGATATTTTGCACTTGCATATTAACTTCAAAATTGTTTAATATTTTACACGCCCACGATTACCGTAGTATATAATCCTCCTTGCAAACTTGTATTCTTTATATTCTGAATATTTTACCTTGGGGTCACGAGTCAAAAGAAAATTTCAAGCGTTCAATAATTACGTTAGCTGATTTACCTCGTCTTAAATATGACTTTTTTTATTAAGAAACAAGTGGATAATTGCGATGGAAAATGATTATCACTAATTTCCGTCATCTTTGTAGGATTTAGCTACTTTCAGTCTTATTGATATAAAATCACCTTTAATTTATCATACAAATTAAATGCTGACTTAAAGTCATGACCGACAAAAATAGAATTTCTTGAGAGTTAATAAATAAATATATATTTATTGAAAATACTAGATAAAACACAAACATTTGGTATAATTGAGCTATAACCAATATAATATGTCCAAGTACAATCCACGACATTACATGAAAGTGAAGTATTTTACATAGTTAAAATCTTTGTACACGTTGTAATCATAAATTAGTTATTCAGTTCACAAAATCAATTTCTTAAAAACAAATATATTACCAGCATTATGTAACTGGAGAACATCGCCACAATAAAACACTTGTGCAATAATTTCAAACTATGACCAGTTCAGTTTGTACACTTTAATATCTGCATCTCTACATCCTACCCACAGATAGTCTTCCTTATCAACTGCCACTGAGTATGGACCATACAAACCGTCTGCTTCCGTTACTACCATACGCATGAACTTTCCAGTATGCTCTAGCATGTGTATGGAATGACTCGCGCTATCTGCCACGAATATGTGTCCACGATTGTCACATGCAATTCCTCGTGGTTCAAAGGTGGTCTTTTGTTCTTGCTCCGATGGGTTTCCACTGTACTCTGTTTTAAACTCTCCGGTAGACTTTACAATGACTACGCATTGCTTGCGGCTATCAGAAACACAGATATCTCCGTTCACGTTTATCGCCACTCGGAGAGGATACATGAATAATTTCCCATCTGCTCCGTATTCTGAAATCATTATTCCGTTCGAGTCCATCTTAACGACTTTGTTTTTATGCGTTGGGCGAAAATCTTGGAAAGCAGCTGATTGTGCCAGACAGATAAAAATATCTCCTTGGGTAGAGATTGTCATCCCTCGAGGATGGTAACCTGGAAATGACGCAAACGTGTCTAAGTTAAAGCCTGGTCCAGGTTTGCCAACCATTTTCTGCTCGTTACTGGACATTATTAAATTGTTTTCTACATCTCTTGCTATAAAATCGATTGTCTTACTGACTACGTGTGTTTTAACCTTGACTCCGTGCCTGTAGAACAGATGAACATCTGCTGTCCAACCAAGGGCAATCCACGCAGTACCTTCGTCCGTCGGGCAAACGCTGCTTACTGCTTTGAAACTACTATCAACGGAGAATGAGGAAAACTCCTCAACCTGAATTTAAACAATAACGATGGAATGTCATATTGCACATGTATACGTGAAGTAACCATACCTGGATAAACTTTATTTAAAAAACATGTACCGATCACAAATGAAATACAAGTTCAAATATAACTTCAAATATTTATCGGTATTTAAGTTATTTTAACTATTATGTTAAACATGGATGCTTGTATAATTGAAGTCCTCTTTATCTGAAACTTCTAAAACTAAGCGTCTAAAACTTCATTAAAATGACATGTGTTATGTAACACCATATGGCTCATAGCACTCTGTTTTCCGAATGAACACATTCAGCATTACTTTTAGAAAGATCATATATCAATCATATAATTTTAAGATATATACTGTAACTTCCGTTGGGTCCCGTATTTTCTTCAACTGTCCTATCAGTTCTGAGAAGCTAGGCGACATCATATTTGTGCTAGGTATAAAGTCCATCCGCAACCGTATCATATCCGATGGTGTCCTGAAAATATTAATTTTATTTAATTTGTTTTTATAAATGCGGTATTATTAACGACCAGCATATTGCGAATTTATTATAAAACCACTGACCAAACAGTATAACTGTACTGAAATAAGAATGTACTCTGCACAAAGGTGACTCATACAAATGGAATTTGTAGTTTGCCTTGTTTGTATGAAAAAAAACATCAACTTGTCCTTTAAGCAAATATGCATTATCAAATTATTATAAATGTATATTTGAAAGTATACCTTGATTTTGCCATTTTTTGAAGTTGGTCGGCAAGATTATCGCGGTTCCAGGCTATATCGGCATCAGATCCATAGCAAACCACCTGAAATATGTCTACGTAATTAGTTTTATCAAAAAATAAATGTCTGCACAATAAAACGTGTGTAAATCACCGGTATTTGTTCCTTGACACAGCATGGAAGTATCGATATGTATATTATACAAGAAATTATCAAAAATTGAGTATTATATGTTTGTACTGAATTCTATTGGATGAGTACAAAGGCTGTCAAACCTGTTTAGGTTGTGCAGTTGTGCATTGGTCCAATAAAATCAGTAATGTATTCAACAATAACAACTCACCTGATTGGCTGAATGCAGTTGAGACGAGAATGACGTCGTCTTATCACTAATCATGTTACGTCTTGTTCCGAGTCGAGCCATTTCTACACAATATTCGTCCTCAACATCGGCAACCATTTTTCTGGAAAGTTCATCTATTGTTTCGTGAAGCTTCTTTGTCTGAACAGAATGATAATTGAAACATATTTACATTAATTTTGTTAATTACTCTTGTTCGAAATGCAACGTTCAAATTATGATGTATTAGAATATTACTTTAGAATTTCTTCAGTATTGTTGTTGTACATTTTGACAGCCTTACAGTTAACGGAAATACTCTAAGGTAGCAGATAGGCAAGAATAAAACAAATTGATATAAATATAAAGCACGGTGTACTTGTTGAAGGATTTCATCTCTAAGTTTATCACGTTCTTTCTCGAGATGATCACTATAGAACGTGACATCATTTAATTGTCCATGGAACTTAGGAAGGACATTCTGTGCTCCTTTCAACATGTCCGTTAGTAAAACACGAATCTCGGCCGCTACATCGGAAAGGTCCTCGCTCTGATGCTGTTCGTGAATAGTCACCTTACAACGGAGACATATTGGAATGGAACATTTTCTGCAGTAGAAGCTCAACTCGTCTCCTGGCATAGATTTTATACAGGTTATAGTACGTTGCTTTAAACCTGATTTATTCAATAAATTTTGCATGTGCATCATTTATATTTTTCAACAAAATAAATCTGGATTGGAAAACAAGAAAAAAAAAATATTTATATCAATTCCATTCCACTTAACTAAATACATAATTGAGATACAAAAATGCTGCGCTTAGATGTAAACTTACAAAATGTACAATAAAAATAATACAGAATTTATTTTTGATAATATTGAGAAAAAGAATAGAAATAAATGAAAATAATAAAAACAGAAATGTAGGGGAAAATGAGGGTAGAAAATACTTAAATTGTTTCTTTTTCTCCCCGGCAATCATTTACAATAACATATAAAATGAATGGATATTGCTATTTGCCGTCATTACTTTTTATAAAGTATCAATTCAGCTAAAACTGCCTCTATGTGAAACAATTCATTCAAGGGAGGAAAGTAAAAAAATACCTTTGTGTTTCTCACAAAAAGACTTGCTGGTAACTTGACCTTCTCCTGCGTGTGACCTTTCTTTCAAAGACACAAGGTGATGGTCCCGCGAAGATTTCATTTTAAGATGACTTCTGCTACAATTCTGACACAAGTTCTGCTCACATTCTAAACAATTTCTCTCGGCACGTGACCCATCATCGCATACCTTAAACACAACATATTTTAAATTTTCTTCAAACGTTCATTCTTATACATTTATTTTCCTGTAGATATCATAGAAAAGTTTGTAAGAACCAATAGAAACGTTCTCAAAGTGTATACACTAAAGTGTTGTTGTATTGTCTACTTGTCATTCTCAATGAAAGGTGTAAGAAGATAAAGCAATTTAAGGATGTTGTCAGCTCTTTATTTACTTTAAAATCTTACCTCACATGGACTATTTGCAGCAATACTAGATTTCGTTTGTGCCGCCTTTATATAGAAGTTCGTCTGCAATTCATCAACACCTCCTGATGGAATAACGCATTCAAAAGCGCAGAGTGGACATGCGAACTTTTGATTGTGAGCATTAGCTTCAACATATGTTTGTAGACATGATAGACAGTATGTGTGGAAGCACGGGAGTATTTTAGGATTAGTAAATGATTTCAGACACAAACTGCAATCATCCGTCTCCTCGCTTTCTTTCAGTGTCTTATTTGCCATTCTCGGTGATATCATCGCTTTGCTCGAGCCATGGATTGACGTCATACTTTTCAAAGAGGTGAATGGTGACGTAAGAGGTGCCGTCATTTTGATTATTATTAGGCCTACTGAAAAATCAATTTGCCATTGAAAAAACATAACAAGACTTTCAAGAGTTTATTTCCAGAATACATCCGGGCACTATATACTCATTGGTACACAGTGCGTATAACATACAACTTTATTATATACTCAAATGGTAAAAATAAGAAACTATATAAATCATATAATTATATCACTAAGATACATTGTTTAGTCCAAGGTGTCTAATTCTTTAAACAATAAAAAAAGATTTATCATGAATGCTAACACTTAATGATACAATATATATACACATATTGAGATATCATAATTATCATAATATTTCCAATAAGGTATGTTTAGAACATTTTCAATTTTGCAAAAACATAAAAAGACGGTAATGTACACACTTTCAGCGTTTGGGACAAACTTTTTGTTAATTATAAAAAATAGTGTTTCTTACATAGAAAGCTTTTTGAATATACGATATATGACTCAGATGATTATCTGAAGGCAAAAAGTATAAAAAAGAAATATCTTAATATATCAAAACTTACGTTTCTAATATCCCATTTGCACTTCAACGCCGTTTGCAATGAAGTTTGTAAAAGTTTTGTATGCCAATGCTATGTATAAAGTCACGTTATGGAACAGAGCGTGTCTTTTAAAACAAAAGCAGGTGTGGTATAACAAAAGACCCTGGTTTTAAATTTACGCTGAAATGATTTTTTTCATACAGTCATGAACATAAACATAATGTTCTATATTCAATAAGTCGTTAAAATTTAAAAATGAACATAAATGTCCGAACTCTGTAACAACGTTAGCTCTGTGTAAAAATTGTTTCATAATATAGCTAGGTTAACGAAACACCCATATTATTGTTTGGCAATATTGACTTGAGACTTTTTTATCTTCGGGAGGTTTTTCGTCATTTTCCGTAATTTATTATGATTTAAGCTTAGGATAGATCTTTATACTAAATCAATAAATACTGCTCGTGACCTAGTGGTAAATTCAACGAAATTATGACCGCGTAGAATCTTAGACAAACAGTAAGAATCTTGGACAAACCTTTTTTTTTAGCTTTCATACACTATTTTTTATTATTTCTTTTAATAATTTGAAAAAAGAGTTGATAAATCGTATGTTCATTTCTAGCATTTGTTTTTAAATTTCATAATTTTGATAAATATATTTTTTTTCATTTCATCGATTTCAATATGTACGACTTTACATCGTGATTCGCATGCATAACACATGTAAAATATAATAAAAGTCATACAAGAACATGAACTTCCAATCTTCTATTTGAAACTAACTGAAATCTAACACATTGTCGCCCAGGCTTGTAATTCTAAATTATGCATATATCATTGCACCATACATTAAAATCCCCATGGCTTTCTTCGGAATCCGATAATTATCGGAAAAAAGGAATATTCAAATGTCTCAGGACAATATAGCCAAACAACAATATCATATTTCTATAAGGGTATTACAAAATTACGTTATCGACCCATATTATTTTAATTGCATTTAAAATATACATGTATTAATCTTTTAAACAACCACGTTACTACAATATAATTATGTTTTAATTGACAATCAATAGAAACTCAAATAAAATAGAATAGACTGGTCGAATGATGTTACGGACGTTTCCCATAGTGTCTTCAGTTTTTATATTAACAAAGAAAATCAAAGCACTGAAAGTACTGAAGTGTGCTTGATAATATAATCCATTTTTGTCATCAAAGCCATGTTGATTTTAACCTACTGACCTCGAAAACAATAGGGGTCATCTTCTGACCAAGATCAATGTCCCTAACAAGTCATTCACATGCACCAAGGCTTTTTTCTTCAAAAGTTATTTATGAGTCAAGGAAGATGTAATGTTCCATCTGTGTATTGCTAGGGCAAGCTGATGAGCAATAAAGAAATCCTTTTTTTTTAAATAGACTGCAGTATAGAATATTGAAACAGTCATATTGAGTTTCCAGTGATGCTATCTGATAAAATACATGATCTGGCTTGAACTCTATACATAGTCAATTAATTGAATCATCCTACAAGACTTAATTACCAAATTATAGTACATCTATGTACTGTACTTTGATGCATTTATAAATATATTCCGGTGTGTTGTATTAATCTCTACACATTAATTTTCAAATGCATTACTTTATTGTTAATTAATAAAAATGAAATCTATAATCACAACAATTCAAATGTACTGTAATATTTTCATTATTCAATAATTGTTACATATAGTCTTCATGAACAACCTTTCCAAGAAATCCATTTATATTGGACAGCAAGTTAACAAGGGTTTTCTATAATCAGGTTGTGTTACCAACTTCTTAACTTTAGATGAACCATTGAGCTAAAACATTTTTTTTCTATTTTTTGGCTACTGTGACATACTTCTGATTTTCAACCAAGGTGATCCATGTTCAAACTCGAGCAAAACCTGTCACACACATTCTTACGATGTTGTGTGACAATTGGGACAAAAGTGTGACCAGTATAGAGTGTTAACAAACTAAATGACCAGCAGATTGTTAACAAACTGTAATGTCAGCGTCGGATACACATGGTTGATTAACATTTAACATGACATAACTGATAAATGTAAATGGTTCGGCCGTGGGTATCCGACGATGCTAAATGTGGACAGACCAGAGTTGACATAAGATGGATGGCCGACATTCAACAATCTAAAACCTCACCCTGAGCCAACCTATAAGTTTCACCACTGACTTTTTCATACTGTACTTATTACAAAAATAACTGACATTTTACAAAGGTAATAAATTCTATGTCATAGTTATTCATTTAAACGGTTGAAAAATGTATTTAGCAGCATTTTTTAAAAAATATATCTAGTATTTTATTGCAAGTAAAATGTGTTGTTTGTTTTTGTTTTTTTCTATGTTTTTGACGCTAGGCAGTATCATAGCCGATAAACAATTTCATACAATGTTTATTACAAAAATATTACTGATATTTTACATTGCTTACACATATAATGTTATAATCATTCATTTAGACGGTTGAAAATTTTATTTAATAGTTCTTATTTTTGAAATGTCCATTTCATCGCAAGTAAAATGTGTTGTTGTTTTTTTTATTTTGGGCTTTTCCATGTTTTTGACGCTAGAACGTTACGTAGCCGAAAAACACTTTCATGCTGTATTTATAAAAATAACATCACTGACATTTTACATTGGTTACAAAAGAAAGTAATAGTTATTCATTTAAAAGATTGAAAAAAAATAGCGGCTCTTGTTTTAACTACGACTATTTTAATGCCCGTAAAATGTGTTTTCCGGCTTTTCCATGTTTTTTTTGACGCTAGACTGTTACTTTGCCGAAAAACACTTTCATATCGCATTTAATACAGAATAGAATCATTCTCTAATTTACACTGGTTGCAAAAAGAAAGTAAATTTTAATCATTTAAAGGATAGAAAAAAGTAGATAAAACTTATTTTGTTGGAATTATACCAATTGTATATATCATCGATTTAAAACTGATATTATTGAACCCATTTCATCAAATAACCATCAAAAATTGTTTATATTGCTGAATTAATATTTCTTTGTATTTTAAGTGTTTTTCGGTAATTTTTTGGTGTTTTTCGGCAATTAATATAAGCAGATTAAAATAACATAATGTATTTATTTCTTAATGCTTACACTGATTTACAGTTTCAAATGATTATTTCTTCTCGTCGAATCTTGCCACATATGCCTATATTTAGCTCCATACTCTGGCTTAATCGTCAATATCCCAAGTTCGACGAATTATAATTGTTATGGGTCGAACGGTCGAGCGGCCGAATCTTTATTTTTACCCGTACTGAATCAGGCAATCTTCGCTGAATTTCGAAACATATTTCTACTCAAAAATCTAAGGCATACAAAAGTGAAAGGAAAATCATGTGTAAAAAAGGTATTCAAAAGAATAGCTTACGAAATTTCTATTTTTCGAAGTCACGATAATTGCCAGTTTAAAAAAAAAACACACATTTTCCGGTATACGCTGGTAAATTTTGTTACGGAGCTCCATACTAATTTTGTAAAACATATTAGGGCAATTTTATTGCATAAATGTAAATCAGGAATTTTATTTGCTGAGATGTTTCGTCCCATTTATATAATACACCGATATACACTTTCAGAACTAGCAGACGACAGGCTATTCTTATCATTGCGTATCTCACTGTATAAATCGCATGTAAAATGGTCTGACATATGGTAGGTTTAACAGTTAATTTAAACACTTTGGAGTCAAAAGATGTATTGAAGTTTATACTGTGATGAAGCTAAAATCCAAAGATTTCTATTGATGTAATACATTTTAAAATCGGACATTTAATCACAACAAACTAGCGGTTTAAAAAAAAGCTTATTTTGTATTGTTTTAGCATAAGCGGTATCGATTTTACTCTGACGACTTTACTATATTTACGATGTATTCATTCATACTAGCAAGCGCATGCGTATATGCGAAGTTTAACGCGTAGGTATAAACTACGATTTTATCAATGAACTGTTATTTTTTGTTTTCTTTAAAGGAATGTAGAGTCTATTACTTCATGAAAATGAACGATTTGGAACTTTCAAAGCATTTAAACAACTTTGCAAACACTATTTTAATGATGCGTAGTCGGAATACTGCAGAATGAAGAACTAGTTTCTGTTGTTCGGTAAAACATAAACCTGTAACGATTTCTGAGATATAGCTTATAACTCTGTATACATTGCAAGCAATGTATACAAAAATGAAACTTACGCACAGAATTTTTCAAACTTTGCATGATACAAAATTATGATTTAACACAAATTTATGGAAAAAAATCTTTGAGTTTCGGTCCTACGCTTTAAGTCATGTGCTTTTGAAAGTTTTTACTCTTTTAGGTCATTTTCAAGAGAAGATAACTCAAAATCATGCAGTCCGACATCTTATTTTATTTCAGATTATTCTTTGATATTTTATTTTACAGCGTTTTTTTAGAAAAAGGATAATGGGAAGGAAAAAGTCGTATCATTTT